CACTGGCAGAGGCACCTTGGGCCGGTCCTTCACTCTTTTCAGGCCAGCCCGATCTACGGTTTGAGTTTGACACCCCTGTTGCAAATCAAGGACTGACTGTATGATCTTGGATTGTGATTGATGATGATAATAACAATAGCAATAACAACACAAGTAATAACAGTATTAATAATTTATTAAATGTATATGCCCAATTCTCAACGACTCTAAGCATTTTACAATTGTTAAACCATTTCAAAACAAAGAACAGTGCAAAAGACACAAAACCAGCATCATATAAAAATACAGGGGGTTTTTTCTCTTACTTACAACCATTAGTTTAGTGACCATTTGAAATTACAACGTCACTGAAAAAAAAGTCCTCAAACTTATGACCACCACAGCATCTCCACAATCACGTGATCCAAACTTGGGCATTTGGTAACCAGCATGATTTATGATGGTTGCAGTGTTTTGGAGTCGTGTGATCACTGTTTGCAACTTTCCCAGCCAGGGAAATTTAATGAGTAAAGCCAGGTTCGCTTAATGGCCTCCTGGTTCATTTAACAATTGTAGCGATTCATTTTAACAAGCATTGCAAGAAAGTTATAGAAAGAAATAGAGCTCATTCATCAGTCTGGCATCTGCACTGCATATCAGACATTAATACAATCGAGCGAGTCCAGAAGTATTTCACGAGAAGAGTACTCCGCTCCTCTGCTCACAACAGAATGCCCTACTGTACATCACTAGGCTTGAGATTTTGGGCTTGGACAACCTTGAACTACGCCACCTATGGTTAGACTTAAGCGTAGCACACAAAATTATCTGCTACAATGTCCTACCAGTCAATGACTACTTCAGCTTCAACCACAATACAAGAGCACACAACAGATACAAACTCAATGTAAACAGCTTCAAACTTGATTGCAGAAAGTACGACTTCAGCCACAGAGTGGACTTCATTCCACAGAGTGGAATGGATTACCTGACTCTGTTGTTACATCCTCTAACCCCCACTCCTTTAACCTCAAACTAACCACTATTGACCTCACCCCATTCCTAAGAGGTCTGTAAGGGGCGTGCATAAGTGCACCATCGTGCCTACCGTCCCTGTCCTATTGTCCCCATTTATTCGTACTTATTTCCTGTATCCTTACTCATGTTTATACTTTTATCTATTATCTGGTAAGCAAATGACAAATCAAATCAAATCAAATAAATCAATAAATAATAAAATAAATAAATAATAAAATAAATAAATAATAAAATAAAGTTCATAAAATCAGGCACGGTTTTGCTTAGCAATGGAAATTCTGGTCTTAATTTTGGTTGTAAATTGAGGACTTCTTTTATTCTATAATTGTATATCATCAGCATCTTCATGGTAATTCATTGCAAGCCCACAGGTGAGTTTGAGACTATGGTGGCTGCAAAAGCCTACATGGAGGCCAGGTGAGGAAAAAGTCAAAATTGAATTCATAACCTCACAATCGCAACCATCATTTTGACTTTTAGACACCCCCACTCCCACTACAGATGCCCCAAGACTCTGTGTAAGTTCTCCAGGATGCTCTGGCTTCAAATGTCATTTTAAAACAACCAAATCTCATTATACTAAATTAATTAGCACAAGAGAAGCACGTGTTTACAACAGAAATAACAGAATTATATTCCGTTAATGGAATAACTTCAACCTTAATACTTTTTAAAAAAAGATTAAAGGGCCTGGCAGATTATATTCGAAATGAAGGTTGCTTATATTGTTCAAAAATCATCTTTCTTGCTCTCTTACTAGAAAGAGAAGCTTAATTCACATGTTGTTAAGCCAGCAATCCATTCTGTAAACCATTTTTATATATTTTTTTTCTTCCAATATTTGCAGGTGACTCACCCAACCTTTTGGCTTCCAAAATCCAGAGTTCTCAGTATCTTATTAAATTACAAATAATGGAAATATAGTACTATAGAGAATCACAGACGTGACCTTGGAAAATGTACACGATAGCGGTACATGATTTAATCCCAGGACAGAAATAGAACATTAGAAACAAATTTAAAGTGACTCTGCCTTAACCTTGTAGAAGGAGGGAAGAAAAGGGGAAATCCTGCCAGGCTTCCAAAGATCCTGTTATGACCGATAGTCCTCATTTAACAACCGATCACTTAGTGACTGTTTGAAATTACGACGGCCTTGTAAAAGGTGCTTTAAGGCCACTAAAGTACGTCCAACTTTTGCAGAATGTTGCACCCCTCCCCCCACACTTGCAGGTACATGCTCACAATCAGGGGTTGTCACACTTACAACCAATTGGCAAGTGCCCCACAATCATGTGATCACTATTTGCAATCTTCTCTGCTGGCTTCCCCAGAAAGTCAGTGGGGAAACCAGCGGGAAAGATCGCAAGCTGACGGTGTCTGCCAAGAGGACTACCTCTCATCTTTTGGAGCTAGCTGAAAGTGGTCCCTGCCAATCCATGCCTGCTTGGATCTCAGCAGCCAAAATCCGAGCAGATATGAAGCTCAAAATCCCTCTTGAGAGATGCAGAGAAATTTCTTAGCGGTATTTAGGAGCTGAGGACTTGGCAGCACAAGAAAACAAGAGCCAAGGTGTCAGATTCGTGGATCTGCCATTCTTCAATGGGGGAGTTGGTACAAGTAATCCTTTTTTGATGTAACCTGATATCTTAAGTCTTGTATTCAATCTGTATAACTTGCATATGATATACAAGTGTGGACTGGAGCCCAGATGCCTGGAAACTTGTCACCTCTTGGAGAGATAGCAAGAGGAGAAGGGTCCATAAAAATTCCAGCTCCGAAAGAAACTTCCTGGGAAACTTTTCTCAGCTACGTTCCCAGAAAACCAGGAGCGGAAATTAACACGTTGCTTCTTTGTATTGACGAAATCCACATCAGACTAAGGGGGGGGGTTCTAACTCTCTCTACCTATGCTGTATGCCTGGAGGCATATCAGACCCTGCTTTGAGTAATACCTGGATAGCTTCATTTTCACAATAAAGAATTCCTTTTGAAATACCCAGCTTTCAGAAGTTCATTCTTATCGATTGAAGGGAAGAGTCTGGGCCTCACACACGGACTTAATAGCCGACCATCAACATCCCAAACAACAAATAAACAGCCACACACAACCAGGCACCACATAAATACTATGCATAAAATAGCCCAAGTTCAGAAGACTAAAACCAAAAGTTTTTTTTTTTTTTTACAGGAGGCAACTGGACTTTCTTGTTTTTTTTTCTTTTGAAGATGTTTCACTTCTCATCCAAGAAGCTTCTTCAGCTCCGACACAGGATAGTGGGGAATGGAAGACAAACATCCTGTCAGAGCTGAAAAAGCTTTTTGGATGAAAAGCAAAACGCCTTCAAAAGAAAAAACAAGAAAGTTCGGCTGCTTCCTGAAAAAAAAAAAAAGTACCTTTGGAGCAACCATGACCTGGATGACTGAGAATCTCTACAAACAGAAGATTAAATCTCTGGTCCTGGTGACCAACCCAGATTGGATCCTATAATATTATCCTGGGACATATATTTTTGCCTTCATTTGATGCAGAGAAAGCCCCCAGCACCATGCCTGCTTGAACCTCAGCAACTGAAATCATGCATGGACCTTAAAATCCCTCTCTCCTCACTTTTATGGAGAGCCACACACAGAGATAGGGAGAGAAGGATTTTAAGCAGAGGTGGCATTCAGCAGGTTCTGACCAGTTCTGGAGTACACCTGGTAGTGGAAATTTTGAGCAGTTGGGAGAACCAGAAAATCCCACCTCTGACTGGCCCTGCCCCCATCTCTTCTCTGCCTCCCATTGAGTCCCAGCTGGTCCGCTGGGTCTCCTTTGGTTGCCCTGCACAGGAGAATGGAGCTGGAAAGCAGGTTAGTGGGGTGGGGAGGGAATGAGGATTTTGCAGTATCCTTCCCCTGCCACGCCCACCAAGCCACACGCACAGAGACTGGTAGTAAAAAAATTTGAATCCCACCACTGATTTTAAGAGCCATACGTGCTATAAATGTGTTCAAAATCCCTCCCTCCCTGCAACTCCATAAGCAGAGAGAAGGGGTCTGTTTACTTAATGACCCATGAGATCACTTAATGACTGCAACAGTGATTGTGGTCATTGAGCTAAGCAGTCATGTGGGCATCTTGCTTAATGACCTCCTTGCTCAGCAACCAAACTCATGCGTTTTTCTTAGCTGTTGTTAGCGCTTAAGATACTGCTGTGATTCAATTAACTGTGGCAAGAAAGATCGTAAAATGGGGCAAAATTCAGGGTTTCTGTTGCTTAGCAACAGAAACGTTGGGGTCAATTGTGGTTGTAAATCGAGGCCTAGTTGTATTTACTGTTAAGTAATGCTAACATAATAGCCAATGGGGAAAGCAAAGGTCAGAATCTTGTAGCTATGACTTCTAGTCTGGCCTTAAAAGCACAAGGGCAGCTGGGTGTCTCTGGGCCAGTCATTTTCTCTCAGCCAGAGGAAGGAGGCAAATGGCAAAATCATTTCTGAAAAACCTTGCCAAAAAAACCTGCAGGGACTTGCCCAGATAGTCTTCCTTTTCCTCAACCCTAGCATAACCCAGTACAGGTAGTCCTTGACTTACAACAGTTCATTTCGTGACCGAAGTTACAACGTCCCTAAAAAAAGTTATTTATGACCACTTGTCACACTTATGACCGTTGCAGCATCCTCATGCTCACGTGACCAAGATTTGGACACTGGGCAACTGACTCATATTTATGACGGTTGCAGTGTACCCAGATCATGTGAACGCATTTTGTGACCTTCTGACAAGCAAAGTCAATGGGGAAGCCAGATTCACTGAACAACCGGGTTATTAACAACAAATGCAATGTTTCACTTAACGGCTGTGGCCAGAAAAGTCGTAAAATGGGGTGAAACTCACTTCACAAACATCTCACATAGCAACATAAATGTTGGGCTCAATTATGGTCATAATTTGAGGACCACCTGTATAACAACATTATTGTAAATGTTATTCTTTGCAGATTGACAAGAAAATTGTCAGAACTGAAATTGGAGTTTTGCTGAGGCTCTCCCATCCAAATATTGTAAGTAACTATTCTCTGTAGTATTTAAAATGGTTAGCTTGCATTGGTAATCACATTTAGTTTGCTTTTGTGACACATTGAGGTTTTTTTTTCCCCGTCTCCTGATTTCCTGTTGCCGAGCGTCCAAAATACAGTTATGTGACTGTTGGGCAGTCCAACTGTGAGAACTTCAAATCTGGGCCATAAATAACCCTGGGGAGGTCCGTCACAACTCTGAACGGTCACTAAGCTGTAGTCCCAACAGTTGCGTTACTCTTTCCTCACAGAGAGCTGCTTCAGCCACTGTCTCTTTTTGGGTTCAGCCACTGTCTCTTTTTGGGTTTAGATAACATTTATTGTCATGTTTTCCTGAGGGCACCCTGGCACGCATTAAAAATGAAATTCTGTTACCTGCTTTCAAAAGTGTACACATACATAGCACACATATGCACATGCTATATACATACATACATATACAGACCCGTACATATAAATACATGCAGGAGTGGGATCCGACTGGTGTAACTACTGGTTTGGTGGCTATGTGTCGCGCGCACATGTGTGCTTCGTGCGCATGTGCGCCAGATGAGTGCGTGCAATTAACAAACTGCTGAGCTACCCGGACAGCTGAGCAGCGCTGCGCATGGGTGTGCAGCATTTGAAAAAGCACTTTTTCCCTGCTTTTTCAACCACTGCTGTGCTGTGCAAAGCAATTGAGGTTGAAAAAGCAGGAAATAAAGGACAAGTAAGATCCTGGGCGGGTGGGTGGGCCAAAACAGCAGCAAACACAGAACTGGTTTTGTGTCTGCTGCTCTTCAGAGCTATTGGTTCTACAGAGCCAGACAGAACCAGTAGAACCCCACCCCTGAATAAATACATACATACATACATACATACATACATACATACGTAATATAATGTATATATTAATCACTGTCCATCTTTTACACCACTTCCGGCTCTAAAGTACAATATTCCTCTTCAGTCCAAGAGACCATAACCTTCCTATATTATGGCTTTATTAAAGTGGCATTTCTATTATCAATTCCCTTCCTAATTATTCCAAACATGGAATCCTTTTTAATACATTGCAAGCCACCCAGTGTCACATGACAGCAAGATGGGCAGCAAATAAATTTAATCAATAAATAAAATATAGCTGTTGCATTCTGAATTTTCATTTAGATGTCCAATATAACACCAAGATCATGATCACTCTGTCTGTCTGTCTATCTATCTATCTATCTATCTATCTATCTATCTATCTATCTATCTATCTATCTTTTATCCATATATTAATGTATAATCAGATAGATACATCATCTATTTTTCTAACAATCATTTATCTTCTATCCTCTTTTTAATCATCTCTCTCACTCTCTCTCTCCCTCCCTCTTCTTTAGCAAAATGACTGATTCTATGCAGGGCCCCTGAGAATATACCAACACTATGAATTTCTTTCTCCTACATAGTTTCCAGTCTACCGTAGTTTCTTGCACGAACAATAAAATCTCAGCTTTTCTTTGTTCTTTGTTTTTAAAATCAAGGTTGTTTTTTTCTCCTCTGTACAAATTTCTTTGTTTGTTTAAAGTTCCATGAAAAAAAGAGGGAGAAGATGAGAACTTTCATTTCATTGTTTATCCTTGCGACGTGTAATTTTCCCTTCTGCTGCCAGTGTTCAGCTGATAGGAAGTGATAATAGGATTGCAAACTTTTGAAGTTAATAAGAAAAAGATTGCAGGGCCATGTATTAGAAGGAAACATTAAGCCTCTTCCTGGTGTGACTGGTATTGTAGGATCACTGAATGAAGCACCATGAACTGGGAAAGTAATGATTAAAGTGGTATGAAATTCACAGTGTCACTAACATCTTAAGAAACTATTATGGAACAATTTTCTGGGAGGGAGGAAGGGTTAGCCAGAAAGAAAAAAAATTGAAAGGTGGTTGCAAATATTTCCCTCTCCCTAATAGGCTGTGGGTGTTAGCTTCATTGTATTGTCGTAAAGAATACAAAAAGCTGTGATTTCAGGGTGCCTGGACAGCTGGGAATCTTTCAATAATCTTGTGATTTACTTCCTTTGTTGCTAAGCCTAAGCCTCAAAAAATTAAACCTTTTGACGTCTGTTTAGTATATTTAGGTCAAATGTATGATATTCATGTACTGTATATTTATAAAAAATATAAAAATGTATGACATATTTACTGGCTAAAAACTCATCAAACTTGCTTCCAGGCAACATTTTTAAAGAATGGTTTATGCCTTCCATTGATTTTTGAGTTGCAGTTATGCAGCGTGTATAGTGCTTCCTAGAAGCTGTGTGTATGGCTGTTGGTTTCAATTGTACTGCAGAGGTGGTATTCAGCAGGTTCTGACCAGTTCTGGAGAACCAGTAGTGGAAATTTGGAGTAGCTTGGAGAACCGGCAAATCCCACCTCTGACTATTCTCTGCCTCCCATTGAGTCCCAGCTGATCGGCTGGGTCTCCTTTGGTTACCCTGCACAGGAGAACAGAGCTGGAAAGCAGGTTAGTGGGGTGGGGAGCGAATGGGATTTTGCAATATCCTTCCCCTGCTGTGCCCACCAAGCCATGCCCACAGAACCGGTAGTAAAAAAATTTGAATCCCACCACTGTTGTACTGAGTCTTTTTTTTCCCCTCATAATACACTACGTTGTTCTTTCCAACCAACACCTTGCAATGATCCACAGCTGATGATGGATTACAGGTAGACCTCGACTTAACAAGCATAACTGAACCCAACATTTCGGGTTGCTAAGCAAGGCCGTGACTTCTGCCCCATTTTATGGCCGTTTTTTTGCCACAGTTGTTAAGTGCAGTTCTTAAGTGAGTCGTGTGGTCATTAAACAAATCCGGCTCCCCACCCCACTGGCTTTGCTTGTCGAAAGCTGGCTGGGAAAGTTACAGATGGTGATCACAGGGAACAACGCAACTGTCATAAATACAGGCCAGTTATCAAACACCTGAATTTTGATCGCATGACCATGAGGATGCTGCAATGGTCATTATTTTCAGTGCTGTTGTAATTTTGAACAGTCACTAGGCAAATGGTTGTAACTCAAGGATTAGCTGTCAAGTTGGTGTCGACTCTTAGCATCCACACAGAAATCTCCACCTGGCCCATCACAACACTCAACATCACTGTAACAGAGTCCTTCTACTTTGCGGCTTGTCCTGTTTTCCTTCTCTTTTCTTCCAGCTTTCCCAGAATTAGAGCCTCCACTAAGGAGCCAAGCCTTTGCTTAATGCATCCATCTATATATATATATATAAAAGCGAAATACCATTCATGCATCATCACAAAATCTCCAGAACTGTAAAGCCTACAAATTTGAAATTTGGCACGTATGTTCCTCTTGGCTTCTAGGTGCTTACTAAGAAAGGATTTGTCAAAATGATCATCAGAGCGTTAGTATTTCATATATTATTATTAACACGCTCTGATGCTAAGGAGTTCTACTCCCTCTCCCCACCTGAAAAGAAATCTGTTCCAAATGCAAAACACAAGCAGAGGAGAGGAAGTTCAGTTTCAGATTTAGTTTCACAGCAGCAAGCAGAGTTAGTACAGACCAGTTGAGCTAAGCCACGCCCAGGCTCCTTGCTGTCTCCTTGATCACACAGCAAATACTGTTTCAGTTTCCAAACAGCCCTCAATTCTCTCATATTGACAGGACGCTAGCCAGATAAATACCAATGGAAGCTTGTAGGCTGAGACACAATTTTCCCCCTTGTTTTCCTCCCCCAAAACTAAGCCTGATCACATAGTTTCATAGCGAAGCACGGGTATAGAGCTAGTAGTACAATAATTTGGTCATCTGTGCCATGAGTGAGACCTCTGACTTGGTTTGGTTAATGATCCATTTATTTTTAGCCTGTCCATAATAGGCTAAATTCAAAAGCATCAATCCTCTTCCTATTCCACTTCTTCAAAATCCAATTTTTGTTTCCATAATGGGTGACAGTAAATAGTATTGCTTGCTTTAGGTGTTTACAGGTAGTCCTCAGCTTATGACCATTACAGAGCACAGATTTTCTGTCACATATCATGACAGTCGTAAGTCAAGTCAGCCATGTTACCAACCTGATTTATATATATATGTGTGTGTGTATGTATGTGTATGCATATATATGTATGTATGTATGTATACACACACACACACACACACACACACACACACACACACACATATATATATATACACACACACACACACACACATATATACATATTTGTTTTCTTAAGTTTTCGCGGGTACTTACATGTATGGCATTCAGCTTTGTTTGGGTATTTTCCCACGTCTCAGGTTAGTCTTAGTTGCTGGAGGATTTGAGCTGGTGAGCTGTGATCCTGCTGTTTGGCTTCACGTTTGTGGTCATGCCACATCTTCATGGTGGGCATCAGTTCGCTTCATGTATGGGTCGGAGGGGTTTGAAGCGGGTAGTGATGCAGCTGCGGTACGGCTTCTGGTCCGTGGTCGTGTCTCATCTTCTGTGTGGGTGTGAGTCTGCTTTCTACATGGAAGTGTGGTAGTAGCATCTTGTGTGGCCCTCGTGCGTGTGGGGTCTGGTGTCAATCTTCATGTTAGGTACTCGTTTGTTCACAAATGTTTATCTATGGGATGGGTTTAGGTTTGAGTCTGGTGAGGGAGAATGGTGGTGGTGTCATGTGTTTTTTGGGTCCGGTGTTGGTTTTCGTGGCTGGGACTCGTTTGTTGATAAGGGCTAGTTTCCAGATGTCTGGTAGGTGGGAGGCATCGTCCTGTTTATTCATGTTATGGAGGTGTTTCTCTATTTCGATGGCTTCCCTGATTATTCTCTTGTTGAAGTGTTCAGTATTGGAGATTAATTTGGTTCCCTCAAAATTAATTTCATGTCCTGTGGCTTTAAGGTGCTGGAAAAGGGAGGAAATATTTTCTTCTTTTCTGACAGCGTTTTTGTGTTCTGCAATGCGTGTATTTATTCTCCTGTTGGTTTGTCCAATGTATGTGGCTGGGCAATTGTTGCATGGTATTTCATAAACTCCTTGGTTTTCTAGCTGGATCTTGTCTTTGGGGTTTCTTAGGATGTTGGCTATTTTTTGGTCAGTGCTGAAGGCTGTCCTGATATTGTGTTTGAGGAGAATTTTGCTGATTTTATCTGTGGTGCCTTTGATGTAGGGGAGGAGGGCGATACCATTGTCCTGTTCTGTGTCTCGGTTTCTAGGGTGTGTCTCCCTTAGGATTAGGTTGGTAATTGTGCTTCTTTGGAATCTGTTGGAAATTAATACGTTAGTGAGGGTGTGTAATTGTGTTCTCAGGTGCTCTTTGTCAGCTAGGTGTTTGGTTCTGGAGATGAGGGTCTTGGCTACGGAGTTGATCTGTGCAGGGTGGTGATGGGATTGTGCGTTTAAGTAGCGGTTGGTGTGTGTTTTCTTCCGGTGGATGGTATGTCCTAGGGAGCCATTGGTTTTTTTGTAAATTAGGATGTCCACGAAGGGAAACAGAAGCCAACAACCAACTTCCAACAAAGGTCATTTCGTGAATGCAGTGATCATAAAGCAAACACAACAGTCATTAAGCAAATATCGTGGTCTCCCATACAATCACTCTCCTAAATAGATAATTCCCATAGCACTCTCTTATGTCTAAGGATATCCAAGCATGTAATAGGACTGTACTACTATTACCCTTCTCATCTTTCCTATTATCTACTCCTGTTTGTATCTTATGATTTATTATTTTGTTGCTTATATGTACACTGAGAGTTTATGTACTGGAGACAAATTCCTTTTGTGTGTCCAATCATACTTGGCCAATAAAGAACTATTCCATTCCGTTCCATTCCATTCCATTCTATTCTATTCCATTCCAAACACATTATCAGAAATTGACTTGATTGCCAAAAACCCAAAGTGAGATCTCTTGATTACAGGGGGGCAACCATCGAACTTTGAATCTGGGTCATAAGTACATTTTTGAGGAGTATGTTGTAACCTTAAATGGTTGCTAAGTAAATTGTTGTATGTCGAGGACTACCTGTATATAAAACCTTCCTGAGCTATATATAGACCTTCACTTAGTTTTCCACAATGCCTTTAACTTTACTTCTTGCAGTATCTCTTACACACCATTGTTCTGGGTTAGAGCAGAAATTCCACTGAAGGACATATTATTTGTGGTCTCCTAATAGAAAGACACAGCTGGTAATTCAGTTTGGACTTTTAAATATAAATTAGCAGTTTCTTTTAAAAAAATCAAATCAGAACAGCTTATGTGTCTGACTCATTATTGGTGAGAAAATTATGCAATTTGCATCTGAATGAAAACTGATCTAATATCAGCTTTTTGCAGCAAAATTCCCAAAATAAAACTGAATCATCATTTTAAATTCCCAGCTCTCCAAATGTGCCAGGTTAAAAAGAATATTTGAGAAAAAAGGGGGAAAAAACTGTTAAGGAAAATTGTTTGCAAAAGAGGAAAAAAAGGCAAACAAAATGTGTATAAAGCTAATAGAACGAAACAGAATAGAATTCTTTATTGGCCAAGTGTGATTGGACACACAAGAAGTTTTTCCCCAGTGCATAAGCTCTCAGTGTACACACAAGCAACAAGTGATAAATCATGATTATAATCATAAAAATACATCTTATCTTATATTTAGAGAAAGTGTACTACATATAGCCCTTCACTTACAACCATTTTAGTGACTGATTGAAATACCATGGCACTGAAAAAAGTGATGTATGACCAATCCTCGTACTTATGACTGTCACAGCATCTTCACAATCACATGATCAAAATTTGTGTGCTTGGCAATCGACATGCATTTATTCCTGAGGACATGAAATTGCTATTTACAATCTTCCCAGCAGGCTTCCAACAAGCAAGGCCAATGGGGAAAACTGCATTTGCTTAACAATTCCATGTTTCACTTAACAACTGCAGTGATTCACTTAACATCCATGCTCCAAAAGCAGGTGCGGCTCACTTAACAACCAATTTGCTTAACAATAGAAAATGTGGTCCCCATTGTGATTATTAAGTTGAGGCTCACCTGTACTATGGACAGAGATTTTAGTGTGGTTTTGAAAATATTCTTAATTTCAACCCAAAGGTCACAATGAACTTTCAAAATTGATAAACCTCAATTTGCCAACCTCTAATGTGGACACATATAAAGTCATAAAATCAAGCAGATTAAAGTTTCTTTCCACATGATATCTTTGAATGGACAGTTGTCAGTGGTGTCTGGGCATGCAAAAGTGTAAATATTCAGAATTTCCATGGCTTTTTCCTCATTTCTGCAAAGCTTTTAGATCAAAGTTATTCATCCTTCTTTATTTCTTCCCACTTGCTTTTAGATCAAACTCAAAGACATCTTCGAAACCCCCACAGAGATCACACTGATCCTTGAGTTGGTGACTGGTGGTGAGCTGTTTGACAGGTAACACAGGAGAAACCTTGGCTTAATTGGCAGATTCTTAATTAAGGATGACTAATTGAACAAAGAAAAGGAGAGTAATTTGTTACCATGGGGAAAAGATGTGTGGGATGCAGGAAAGGTGCTTGGTTTAATTCACAACCAATCTCTAAACTCTTAATTCCCTTAGCTTGCCTTCTACCCTGTTGCTTTCTGGCTTCAGCTCTTGCTAAAATGGAGATAGTTTATTTATTTTTATATAGAATTGATGGACATAAATATGCCTGCACCAGCCAGGCTTCCTTGATTGACCTTTGTTTAAGTTTTTTTTTTTTAGTTTTTTTACCTACAGAGCTAAGGGGGAAATGACCAGTTGCGAATGAAAATGAGTAATTCCAACATTGTGTGAGTTTTCAAATAGCTTGTAGCATCACCTACAACCTAAAGTCCTTCTTGGAAAATAAATATGATGGGTGGCCATGACCCATTGGGATGGGGAATTAATCATGATGTTTGAGAATGGCCATTGCGAGCCAGACATGAAATGAAAATACGAAATGGATGGCAGCAAGAGGACTAGAATTAGCCACTGATGTCAAGGAAAAAAAGCCAAGTCACTGAGTAATTCCATAAGAAGCCAGATAAATTTCCATGAATATCTACTCATTATTAGAGATTAAGAGTAACCAACAAGAGCAATCACGAGGATATGTGTTAAGAAAGTTTTTTTCCCCCTTCATGCCTGGTTTTGGCTGATTTTGAAAAGCTAATTGGGATCAAGCCTGGTTAGTTGTGGATAAGAGACCACCAGGAAATCAGGGCTCTAGGGAATTTGAAAAAAATATCCCGCAAAGCAAATGTTGCCCCTCTCTTCCAGATAAATTCCGTCCCTCTTGTTTTTTGTGAATATTTAACTTGGGGGGTGGGGGGAGCATAAAAAATCAAGCCAAAGCCCCCATCCTCTTTTTAAATGTGTGATGCTGTTAGCCCTTTGAGGAAGTGGTAGTCCAGACAAGAAGCACAACAATAAGTATCAACTCTACCTTTATTGTAAGGTTGTGTTAATAGAATCTTGCAAATCTAAAAATATTTCTCTCTTCCTTTCCTTTTACTCCCCCCCCCCCCCCCCCAAAAAAAACAGAAGGGTCCTTTCTGTGAAGCTTTCCATGCCCTTCCTCTATCTGTGGGCTGAGATATCTTTGCTATGTTGATTATCTAGGCTGCAGCTCTTTCTTCTCTCTCCCAATGCCTTTTGCCTCTAAGTCTTTCCCTTCTGTCCCCCAAGGCCTTTTCCTTCTGCCCCAATATCTTCCTTTCTGTCTCCCATGGTTTTCTCTTCTGTCTCCCAAGGCCTTTTTCTTCTGCCACTAATACATTTCCTTCTGTCTCCCAAGGCCTTTCCTTCTTTCCCCAAGACCTTCCCTTCTGTCTCTCAAGGTCTTTTCCTTCTGGCCCTAATACCTTCCCTTCTGTCTCCCAAGGCCTTTTTCTTCTGCCCCCAAGATGTTCCCTTCTGTCTCCCAAGGTTTTCCCTGCCATTTCCCAAGGCCTATGGAGGTTCTCCCTCATACAGGAAGAATAAGAAATAAAGAGAATCACTTCTTTCAAAATGTTGTTCATTGGCATTTTTTTTTTTAAAAAGACTTGAATTGAACAGATTGCTCTATTAAACTATACAGTCCTGGGACAGAGAATCAGGGAGGAGGCAATGTGTGAATGGTTGCCTAGCAAACCCTGTGGTTCTCCCTTTTCCATCCACCAGGAAGAGGAGTGCGCCGGTTGCCTAGCAACCAGCCATTCCTGCCCTCTCTGCTGCAAAGCTTCCCAGCCTCCTCCTCCTCCTCATATCACACATTAAAGCAGAAAAGAAACTAGTACACCCACAGTCTTATTTATTTTTAAGTATTCCCCCCCCCCGCCCCCAGCAGATTTACAGGCTGGCAACAGGGCTGGCTGTGCAGAGTGAAGGCATACATATATATATATATATATACATACATACACACACACACACACACACATACATACACTGCTCAAAAAAATAAAGGGAACACTTAAACAACACAATGTAACTCCAAGTCAATCACACTTCTGTGAAATCAAACTGTCCACTTAGGTAGCAACACTGATTGAAAATCAATTTCACATGCTGTTGTGCAAATGGAATAAACAACAGGTGGAAAGCATAGGCAGTTAGCAAGACTTCCCCAATAAAGGAGTGGTTCTGCAGGTGGTGACCACAGACCACTTCTCAGTTCTTACGCTTTCTGGCTGATGGTTTGGTCACTTTTGAATGCTGGCGGTGCTTTCATTCTAGTGGTAGCATGAGACGGAGTCTACAACCCACACAAGTGGCTCAGGTAGTGCAGCTCATTCAGGATGGCACATCAATGCGAGCTGTGGCAAGAAGGTTTGCTGTGTCTGTCAGCGTAGTGTCCAGAGCATGGAGGCGCTACCAGGAGACAGGCCAGTACATCAGGAGATGTGGAGGAGGCCGTAGGAGGGCAACAACCCAGCATCAGGACTGCTACCTCCACCTTTGTGCAAGGAGGGACAGGAGGAACACTGCCAGAGCCCTGCAAAATTACCTCCAGCGGGCCACAAATGTGCATGTGGCTGCTCAAACTGTCAGAAACAGACTCCATGAAGGTGGTATGAGGTCCCGATGTCCACAGGTGGGGGTTGTGCTTACAGCCCAACACCTTGCAGGACGTTTGGCATTTGCCAGAGAACACCAAGATTGGCAAATTCGCCACTGGTACCCTGTGCTCTTCACAGATGAAAGCAGGTTCACACTGAGCACATGTGACAGGGTCTGGAGACACCATGGAGAATGTTCTGCTGCCTGCAACATCCTCCAACATGACCGGTTTGGCAGTGGGTCAGTAATGGTGTGGGGTGGCATTTCTTTAGGGGGCCGCACAGCTCTCCATGTGCTCGCCAGAGGTAGCCTGACTGCCATTAAGTACCGAGATGAGATCCTCAGACCCCTTGTGAGACCATATGCTGGTGCAGTTGGTCCTGGGTTCCTCCTAATGCAAGACAATGCTAGACCTCATGTGGCTGGAGTGTGTCAGCAGTTCCTGCAAGATGAAGGCATTGATGCTATGGACTGGCCCGCCCATTCCCCAGACCTGAATCCAATTGAGCACATTTGGGACATCGTGTCTCGCTCCATCCACCAACGCCACGTTGCACCACAGGAGTTGGGGGATACTGTCCAGGAGTTGGGGGATACTTTAGTCCAGGTGTGGGAGGAGATCCCTCAGGAGACCATCCACCACCTCATCAGGAGCATACAGGCACGTGGAGGCCACATACACTACTGAGCCTCATTTTGACTTGTTTTAAGGACATTACATCAAAGTTGGATCAGCCTGTAGCGTTTTTTTCCACTTTAATTTTGAGTGTAACTCCAAATCCAGACCTCCATGGGTTGCTAAGTTTGATTTCCATTGATAATTTTTGTGTAATTTTGTTGTCAGCACATTCAACTATGTAATGAACGAAGTATTTAATAAGAATATTTCATTCATTCAGATCTAGGATGTCTTATTTTTGTGTTCCCTTTATTTTTTTGAGCAGTGTATATTAAAAACAAAAAACCTGCATGCTGTTTCTTCTCTACAGGATTGTGGAGAGGGGATTTTACAGCGAAAGGGATGCAGCCCACGTGGTGAAACAGATCCTGGAAGCTGTCTCCGTAAGCCTTTCTTTTTCTGGATTCCTTGTCCTTGCATCTGTTTTGGAGGGTAGAATTCTGGTTGCCAAGGAAATGGAAATATAAATTTTGCCACCTTTCAAAGGCCCCCTTTCTGTTAACTGGAATTTCGTAGGCAGGCACACAATCAAGGTCTCTGCTTTTCATGGATCTATGCAAGAGTGCCACTCGGATGGTGGGAGGTTTGTTGGTGTGTAGTTAATTTTTTTTTTTTTGAAGTTATGACTTCATTTTTTCCAATGTTCAATTGATATTATCTTTGAAAGCTCCCCTTGTCTGAGCTCTGAAACCAGCAACTTGTGGACACCAGCGGTTTCCCTACGTTGGTAGTAATAATAATAAACAGTGGACATTCCACTAGCTGGGGGTAGAATAGAGGATAGCAGAATAGAGGAGAAAGAACTGGAGAAAATCACAAATTATAAAGACTTGCAAAGAAAAGTAGAACAACTGGGGCAAAAGAAAACAATAATAGGCCCAATAATTGGCGCCGAAAGAAAGGGAAAGATGCAGAGAAAAAGGAAGTAAAGATGAAAAAGGCAGCTGAGAATCCTCTATATCAGTGTTTCTCAGCCTCCGGGGTGGGGAATTCTGGGAGTTGAAGTCCACACATCTTAAACTTGCTGAGGTTAAGAAATGCTGTTTTGCATGAGGTAAGAATACAGTTTCTGTGAATCCCAGTTTGCAGCAGTCAGGGATCGTGAAAATCATCTGTTTATCCAACTGTCCTCTAGTCAAAATATCTAAAATTATTGACATTCTATTCATAGAGTATAGACTGATGTACACAATATTTTTATTGTAGTTGCACAGGGCTGATTGAGAGAATAGGATCTCAGTATGCAGGGGTGAATATTTTCTTCCCTCAGACAACCAGCTATCTCTTCAATAATTAGAAATGAAGAATAAATTTCCCACCAAATTGACTCCCTCTTCTGTCAAATCCTGGAACTTTCTCTGACCCCATTACAAGTAGTCCTCGCTTTGCAAATGCTCATTTAGTGGCCGTTCAAAGTTACCATGGCTCTGAAAAAAGAGATTTATGACCTTGTCTCAAAAAGTAACAACGCTCTGTGACGGCATTCTGGACACATGACCACAGAAATGTCTTCAGACATCGTTGGCTCAGTGGCTTGAAAAGGACATGAGCACTTCCCCCTAAATTCCATAACGACTAGCAGAGCAAAATCCACAGAGATTTTTCCTCACACTTATGACCGTCGCAGCATCCCCATACATGATCAAAATTTGAGTGCTTGGCATTAAGCATGGTTGCAGCATCCCGGGGTCATGTGATTGCCATTTGTGACCTTCCCAGACAGATTATGAAAGGTAAAGTCAATGGGAAAAGCTGGATTCACTTAATGACCTCACAATTCACTTAACAACTACAGGAATGTGCTTAACAAGGGTGGCAAAAAAGGTCATAAAAATTGGGCACAATTCACTTAGTAACCACTCTGCTTTACTGATTAGATTGAGAGATCTTTATAGAAATGACTAGTTGATATTATCATGAAAAAACAAGTTGTGGTTTGATGTTAATGTTTTATTTTACTGCAAAAGAAGGAGACGGAGGTCAATGCTTCTTTTTCGTTTTCTCAACCCTTCCTCACTTCTCCTTCCCCTCATTGTTTTCCTATTTACTTTTCTATTTTGTATCTTGTCTTATCCTATAACTCAATAAAAGGTTAAATGGAACAAGTACTCTGCTCAATAAAGGAAGTTCTGATCCCAATTGTGGTTTGTAAGTTGAGGACTATCTGTAAATAGTTTTGCTCCGAGTTAAAGCTAACGCACCCAATCTAGGAGAATACTTGGCTGTATAATTTCCCCTGGGATTTGGTTGCGACTGAGTGCTGTCTTGGAAAATTACTATGGGTGATTTCCAATTTAGTTTTCTCCCAGCACACACCCAGTCGATCTCTGCGCTCAGATCACAATGAGCGCATGCGTGCTCAGTTCAGTGAGCCAAAATAGAGCTTGAGGGTTATTTATAAAACATCAGCAAAGATTTTTTTTAAAATTAACTGGCAAAACAGGATAAAATGCAGGCAAATCAGTGAGCGTGAGAGAGAGAGAGAGAGACGAACAAGAATTGACCTCAAAATAAATTGAAATTTCCTGAGCCAGTGATAATAGTCCTGAGGGTAATTAACGTGGAGAGTAACAGAGTGCCCTATGGCTATTTCAGCCCTAATTATGTATATCGCTGCAGTAGAATCAAGATGGAAAGTAGGACATCGGGTGATCCTTTCTCTATTTTGCACCATCAAAGAAACTATTTGATGGACTGCAGTGATAGATCCAACATGCCAAAGGCAAACTCCTTCTAGGCTAAAGAACTCGAGGGAGAAATTGGAACAGATAAGACAGCACTAGAACAGATTCAAAACCGCACTAAACCATTTATTGGGATTAACTTGATTTGAAAAATCATGATTTACAAGTACAGACAGTCCTCGACTTACAACAGTTCATTTAGTGGCTGTTCAAAGTTACAAGGGCACTGAAAAAAGTGAGTTATGACCACTTTTCACACTTACGACCATTGCAGCATCCCCCCGGTCACGTGATCAAAATTCAGGTGCTTGGCCACTGGCTCGTATTTATGATGGTTGCAGTGTCCCTGGGGTCACGTGATCACCTTTTGCGACCTTCTGCCAAGCAAAGTCAATGGGGAATCCAGATTCACTTAACAACCATGTTACTAATCTAATAAATGCAATGATTCACTTAACAACTATGGCAAGAAAAATCTTAAAAGGGGGCAAATTCAGTTAACAAATGTTTTACTTAGGGCTCAATTGAGTTCGCAACTTGAGGAGTACCTGTAATCCTCCAGTTATAACCAGGCATTTAGTGACTGCTTGATATTGTAATAGAATAGATCCGTGGTGGCAAAGGTATGGCACGCGTGCCAGAGGTGGCATACAGAGCCCTCTCTGTGGGCACGCACACCATTGCCAACTGCTCTTCTGGTTTCTGGCATGCCAGGCAGCTGGTCTTTGCGGGCGCCAAAGCACTGGAAAATGCCCCTCAAAACAGGCTATTTGGGGGCCTTTTTCAGGCCATTTTTCGGGCCTTTTTCAGGGCCCTTTTCTGGGCCATTTCTGGACCAAAACCAACCTAACCCCCCCCCCCTGAAAAACAGCCCCAAACAGCCCAATACCCCCCTAAAACACGACCTGAAAAGGGCCCAACAAAGGGTTTGAAAATGGCCCAAAAACGGCCCAAAGAAAGGTTTGAAATCGGCCACAAAATGGTGCTCCACCATCCGCACATGAATATGTGTTCCGGTTTGCGTACTTGGTGCTGAAAAGTTTCACCATCACTGGAATAGATCATTTCAACTTATACTTAGTTCTGATGACCAGGGCCGCACCTCCACAGTCTCATGACCGTATTTCAGATGCTCACCAACTGTTCTGCATTTACAGCCCACAGTCAAATGACCACAATTTGCAGTGTTTTTGCCAAACACAGGTATTTGTGTCTTGTTTTTCACACAACACCAGCGATCAATGTGCTTTGCTTGAGGTCTGCTTTACAGGTGCTGCAAAAAAAATTGTAAAATCATGTCAGTGATATGGGATGACCCACTTTCCAATTGTCATGATGTATGACCCTTATTGGCAGCCTCCATTTCAGTCATAAATCAAGGATTACCAGTACAGTATTAAGTCTAATTACATCAAGTAGTCCTCGACTTATGACCACAGTTTAGCCCAACATTTCTGTTGCTAATCAAGACAATAGTTAAGTGAGTTTAGCCCCATTTTATTTATTGATTGATTTATTTAGATTTATATTGCTGCCCATTCGCACGTGGCGACTCAAGGCAGCTTACAAAAATATGAAAACATCATATATAAAAACAATAAAACTAATAAAAGAATAATATATAATAAAATAATAAAATAAAATAACCCCCTTGCCCCAGTGACAACACATCATATGAGCCATTTAATGTGCTCCATCCCGCTCCAGGTCTTCATTTTACGGCTCTTCTTGCCACAGTTGTTAAGTGAATCACTCAGGTGTTAACTTAGTAACATGGTTGTTAAGTAAAGCTGGCTTTCTTAGTGACTCTGCTTCTCATAAAGTTGCAAAAGGTGATCATTGCAATACATTGCAACCAGGGGTGGGATTCTACCAGTTCGCACCTATTTGCTAGAACCGGTTGTTAACATTCTAAGCAGTTCGGAGAACCAGTTGTTAGAAGAAATTACTGGCCTAATCCTGTAAGGAAGGCAGGAAGGAAACATTCTGGTATTGCTTACAAAAACTGCCTTTCCATTATCCCTTATAACATTCTTGGCAGGACTAGACTTCCTGTCTCAGGAACTTCTCTGGAGTTTTTTTTCCCCTCCTTTGCTGGTACTTTGCTTGTGTGGAGTGACCATTCAAAGTTACAATGGCACTGAAAAAAGTGACTTATGACAATTTTTCACACTTACGACTGTTGCAACCTACCCGCAGTCATGAGAGGCCAGGCAAGGAGATGCGTGCCTTGACGTGAGTGATATTGAGTTGGCCACACCCAGCCAATAACATGACCACCAAGCCATGTCCACTCAGTCACATGGCCACCAAGCCACACCCACCACCTAAGCCACACCCACAGAACCGGTTGTTAAAAAATTTGAATTCCACCCCTGACTGCAACTGACATAAATACTTGCCAAGCATTAAATTTTGATCCTGCGACCGTGGGGATGCTGCAACAGTTGTGAGCGTGAAAAAAAGTCACAAGTCCCTTTTGTTCAATGGCGTTATAACGTTGAATGGTCACTAAATGAATGGTTGTAAGTCAGGGACTCTCTATAAGTTGTTTAATTTGACAAACAGATTAACAAAGCAAGTTTATTTATTTTATTTAATTTATCTAGTTTGTCAAACATACATGAGAAAACAAGTATAAGCATGAACATAACATATAAACATATAAGTATAAACATATAAGTTATTGCTCGTTCAGCCTGTTGTCCGAAAGTCCTTGAGCTTTGTGAATGTGGAAGCTGCCAGCAACGGAGGTTGGAGAGAATAATTCACAATTGGAGAGAAGGTGGCTGGTTTCACCTTGCAAATCATACATTAATCTTGGTTTGCAGTGACACCCCCTTAAGGGACATTCTTACTCGCTCTTAAGGTGTAATTCTATTCAGCACGAGTTTCATAAATAACATTCCCGAATCCTTTGAAATGCAGACAATTCCATATTTGGTATTCAGCCCCCTCCCGCCCGGCCCCTGAGGAATTGCTCCCCGAAGAGAAGCCATTTAAAAAACAGGACAAGCCAGGAAAGAAATGGCAGCGTGCATCTGGCATTAAGCTCTTTCCTGCGGTCTAAATTTCAGCACAGCACAAAAGAACAAGGAGAAATCCATAACTCTTAGAGGGAATATTAGTAGGCCGCTGTTTCTCAGTACTAAAGGTCAGGGAAGATTGTTTCCAAGGCAACCAGGGGTTTTAAAATATGAGAGAAATTCATATACGAAAGTGGTCCATCGTTAGCTTTGTGCAAAAGGGAGAATTTGGCTCCATCACTCTGGGGTATGAAAGAAATGCTATCGAATGGGCAGAGATCTTAACAGCTGAGTGAATGAAAAGAACAATTGGGATTTTTTTCAATGAAGGGATGTCCAACTTTGGCCACTTTAAGACCTGTGTACTCCAACTCCCAGAATCCCCCAGTCAGCCAAACAACAGTACAGAGCAATGTGCTTTTGCTGTGGTTAAACTCCTGATATAATATTTATTCAGAATTATTTAGAAATAATTCAACAAAGGCTCTCTGCCGTTTTTAAGCAGATGCAGCTTCTTTGCACTTTCTGCCTATCACTGCAATAGTAGAGAATATAATTTGTTCCTATAATTTGTTCTTGTGCCTATAATTGTGCCTATACTATAAGTTGTTCACAGCACATGAAGAATTGCTATCATTTGATCAGTTTGTGGTTGCTGTGTAATCTGTGAATATATGTGCCTTTATTAATGATTTGGGAGAAAGCAATAAAATAAAAAGAAATTAGCAAGTGAAGTAAAAATATTGTGCTTGGGAACTTAGACTTCTATTTAAATATCTTAACAATTCAAAAATAAGGATATAACTACCCTGCATAGAATATAGATAGGGTTAATGCAAACTAATAAATTTAGAACAGAACTAAATAGAACATCGTCAAAGTTGGAAGGGGCTTTGGAGGTCTTCTAGTCCCCTTGTCAAGCAGGAGACTATAAATAATAAGATATCAAAAAATGGTACACAAGGCTTGAAAAGCCTCAGTACCTGTAACACCGTGTCAGTTTACATTGGAATGCTGCTACAAATAGTTTTTAACTTACGATGATTCATTTAACAACCATTCAAAGTTATGATAGTGCTGAAGAAAATTGTTATGACCGTTTCTCACATTTATGACTGCAGCATCCCTGGCAACTGGTATGCATTTATGATGGTTGAAGTGTCCTAGGATCACGTGATGGCCATTTACAGCTTTCCCAGAGGTTCCTTAGGTGGTTAGTCAATGAGGGGAGCTGGATTCCTTTAATGACTGTGACCAAAAAAAGGTAGTAAAATTCGGCCACATTGCTTAGCAACTTAGCAAAGAGAAGTTCTGATCCTGATTTTGGTCATACATTGAGGCCTACCTGTATTACTACATGATATTTTAAACGGTGGTACAGAAATGCCACAAATCAGAAAAAATTGAAATGCCATGAAATGCCACTTCCTTTGTCATTTGAGGTAGCTACAGAAAAAAAACAATTCATTGACTGTACCAAAGGAATCCTTTTTGACAGCATATAGAGTAAGGGACTTTTTACTGCAGAAACGTTGCCTGATTTTCTGTCTTCGTCTCTTTTAGTATCTGCATTCAAATGGAGTTGCCCACCGTGACCTCAAACCAGAAAACCTTCTCTACGCAGATCTCTCCTCCGATGCTCCTCTTAAAATTGGTATGTGTGGGATGAAGTAAACAGAAAATCTTATATAGTGAAATTCTTTTAACAGACTTAACGGTGGGAGAGCGGTATCCATTGTTCACAAATATCCACTAGGTGGAAAAATGCACCATTATGGCAATTAACATCAATTGTGATTATGTGATTATGTCGTTTTGCAGGCATTGCAAGCTATGACCTTTCCGTCAATTCACGTCATTTGACGTAAACTAATATGACGGATATAATTCATCTTAAAAATTTGATCCAAAGCAGGGGGAAAAAGAATTCATGATACATTTTATAAGATATTATCTAATGTCACATTTGTATAAATTTACATGGTTTGCATTATAATGTTGTTATGCAGCTTACACAAATGGTAGGATTTTGAAATTAAATAGATGTTTGGGATAAATGGGTATTCTTTCCCTCAGATTATACCTTAAATTAAGGGTTGACTAACTTAACAGCGCACACTCAGAACTACAGTGACTTATCAGAGTTTATTTATTGACTGTTCAAAGTTACAACATCACTGAAAGAGTGACTTATGACTGGTGTTCATACTTACAGTTGCAGGATCCCCCAGGGTCACGTAATCAAAATTCAGATGCTTGGCAACTGACTGGTGCATATGACGTTGGCAGTGTCGTGTGTGATCTCCTTTTGCAACCTTCTGACACGCAAAGTTAGTGGTGAAGCCAGATTCACTTAACAACCATGTTACTAATTTAACAAGTGCAGTGATTCACTTAACAAATGTCTCACTTAGCAACAGAAATTTGAGGCTCAATCGTGGTCAAAAGTCAAGGACTACCTGTATTAGAATTACCTTTTTAACAATATTTTCTGCTCTAAGCAGAATGACACAGAATTCTTTCCTTACAGATAATTTTGTCTATTAGTAGAGCCCAGAACAGAATATCAGAAGATGCTGCATGATTCTGTTAATTAGTATGGTTTTAATATTCAGGAGTAATTACTCCAGTGAGGACCAGAGGGCCAAACCCCAAATGACTCTCAAGGGGTGGGAGATGGCTTATGAATCAATCCTAATTGATCTAAAATTCATCCCACAACGAATAAATATCTGTGGGGTCTTTGGTGCTCTCTCAGTTTGCTGGCTTTCTTGCAGACATTTCATTACTCAACTAGGTAACATCAGCAGCACTGATGATGTTACCTAGCTGGGTAATGAAACATCTGCAAGAAAACAATTAGAGGGCAATGAAAGAGAGCATGAAGGACTCCGTAACTGAATCCTGAACTACAAATATTCTCTTTTCTTAGAGATCCAGGTTCTTATTTGGTTGGTTTTCTTATGCTGAAGACATTACCTAGTCATTCACTGGGTAATGCACCGTGAAAAACATCAACCAAGCTAAGAGAGTATCAAGGACTCCACAGTTCAACCCTGGGCTACTAATACGGTAGTCTTCGATCTGTGGCCACAATTGGAATCAGAATTTCTGTTCCTTAGCCAGGAGATTTCGTTAGTGACATTTGATTTTAATGACTGTTTTGCCAGGGTTGTTAAGCAAACCACTGAAGATATTAAATAAATCACATGGTCATTAAGCAAATCTGGCTTCTCCCATTCGCTTCCCTTGTTGGAAGCCCCCTGGGAAGTTTGCAAATGGTTGACTACATGATCTCAGGATGCTGCAACAGAGTAAATATATGCTGGTTGCCAAGCACCCAGACTTGATGCTGTGATGCTTATAGTGTAAGGTCCAGTCATAAATCACTTTTTTCAGTGCCCTTCAACATCCAAGTGAACAGAGATTAATACCAAGATTAACAACAGAGCAACAATCAAGAAATAAACAGGACCTCAGTCGAGGAACTGCCAAACAAGCTAACAATAAACAGCCCAACCAAAGAACCTCCAGCACCACTCCCACCAACCCTGACAGGACAAGTCTCTAGAATATAAAATATGAGCACACCCCACTCCCTGCAATCACTGATGATGTTACCCAGCTTGGTATTGAACCATCAGCAAGAAAACAACCAAGCTCAGACAGCACCAAGGATCACGTAGTTTAATCCTGATCTACAAAGATTCTCTCTTACACACAGCAATCTTTGTATTCTCCCAGGTGATTTCGGTTTATCTAAAATTGTGGATGAGCAGGATACAATGAAAACTGTATGTGGCACACCAGGATACTGTGGTGAGTATGTGATGGAAAGCAATGGGGAACTCTATCCAGGTTATGGAGGTACTGGTACAAAAGGATCTTTTGCAGGAGTACTGTATCTGGGATGTAAAAATCCAGATGTCCACTAGATGCCACAAAATGTTAGACTTTCTTTCTCTCTACTGCTACAGTGGTCATGTGAAGATTTGCAACTCAGATCTGATGGTTTTTTTCAGCTTAGTAACCAGTGTTATTCTCTCCTAAAAATTGTTTCTTGCCACTGTTGCCAAACCAGTATGTAAATGATAGGAAGTGTCATCTGATTTAGACATACCGGACATACCAGAAGTGCAGATATGGGCCCGTTTTTCGGCCTCCCGAGGCTGCAGAGGCTTCCCTTGAGCCCCCGGGAGGGCGAAAATGGCCTCCCCTGGACTCGAGTCCCTCCGGAGGCTGAAAACGGGCACTTCCAGTATTTCCAGAAGGCCCGTTTTTTTAGCCTCCCAAGGCTGCAGAAGGCTTCCTTCAAGCCTCTGGGAGGGCGAAAACGGGTTCAAACATCAGCTAGGAGGCACCCGCATGTGCAGTGCAGGTAAGTGTTTTGTGCACACATGTGCAGGAGGGATGGGGCGCATTGCATTATGAGTGCCAGCACATGCATGTGCTTTCAGCCATACCACAACAAAAAGGTTTGCCATCACTGTTCTATTCTATTCTATTCTATTCTATTCTATTCTATTCTATTCTATTCTATTCTATTCCATTCCATTCCATTCCATTCCATTCTGTTGGATAACTGCAAACATTCAGGCAACCACTAGATGGCAACAGAGATAATTTTATGGAGCTTTTCTACCATCTAGTGGTCATCTGGTTTTAGTATCCTCCCTTTACCACCTATTCTGACTCAAATAAAAAGGCTTTTGGGCAGATAATTTGGGCTACAGGTATGTTTAGGCTTTATCCGTTCTGTTTCAAAGGGCCACCAGGGGAGAATGGGCAAACAATAACATGCCACTCTCTTCTCCTTCCTCATGAGTTTGCAAAAGTGGAAGTGATAGCAAGTGTCAGGTTGGAAAACAGCCAAGAAAATTGCCCGTCATCCGTGAAGGAGTGTGAGTTTTCACCGTTTATGCTTAGGGGAATGAGCAGGGAAGAGAGTCATAGCGGGAGGAGGTAGGGGAATGGAAGCCAAGATATGTCTACCAATTCCTCTCTCTCTCTCTCTTTCTCAATTCTATCTTTTGTTTATTTTTTTAAATACCTTCAGCACCCGAAATTCTCCATGGCTCACCATATGGCCCTGAGGTGGATATGTGGTCTGTAGGCGTCATAACGTACATTTTGTGAGTAATGCTAAAATACTTTAACACAAAACTCCTGTCTGCTGTGATTTGCTCACTCACACTGTTCCTTTCAAGCATGGCCCAGCAAACAAGCGTGATGTGAAATATCCTGGATTTTGTTTTGTGTTGTTGTTATTGTTTTTGGAGGAGGGGGTTAATTCTCACCCACCCATAATTTCTGCTGTTCTTTGCTTTCAATTTAAAAACAGGTGAGATCCTTTCAGCCGCCATCTCTTTATCTCCCACTCTCTCTTGTTTATTTATCTCTGCCAAATAAAATCATGAAATTTTTCTGACTTCCCCCACATACACACACAAACACACACACACTGCCAGGCATGCTGTTTTCTCTTTTATTTGCTTTCGGTGCATTATAAAGAATAGGCAAAAGTATAAGACTGTCAAGAGGGAGGTTGTTTCAGATCACAGGTTGTTCTGGTAAAAAACACCCTTTCCTATTCTCGCCCACAAAACTTCAATCAGAGTACAGGTAATCCTCAACTTATAACTTCCCTCAAAACGACGTTATAGAGCACTGCATACCAGAACTAGACACAAGGACAGTTTTTCCCCAAAAGCCATCACTCTGCTAATCAAATAATTCCCTCAACACTGTTCAACTACTACAAAGTCTGCACTACTATCACTGTTAATGTTCTCATCGCTCCTTATCACCCATCCCCTCCCATTTGTGACTGTATGACTGTAACTTTGTCGCTTGTATTCGTACGATTTATATTGACTGTTTCCTAGTATGATTGGATTGCTTATTGTACCCTATGACTATTATTAAGTGTTGTACCTGATGATTCTTGATGAATGTATCTTTTCTTTTTATGTATACTGAGAGTATTGCACCAAGACTAATTCCTTGTGTGTCCAACAGGGGTGGGATGCTACTGGTTCTGCCCAGTTCTAAAGAACCGGTAGCTCTGAAGAGCAGCAGACACCGAACCAGTTCGGTGTTTGCTTCTGTTTTGGCCCACCTGCCCGCCCGGGCTCTTACCTGTCCTTTATTTCCTGCTTTTTCAACCTCAGCTGCTTTGCACGGCACAGCTGAGTTTGAAAAAGCAGGAAAAAAGAGGCTTTTCAAACATTGTGCACCTGCGCACAGCACTTTTCAGCTGTCCGGGCGGCATAGCTTAAGGGTTTTTTACACGCGCGCATGTGTGCAAAACATGCATGCACACGTAAAACATAGTCACCGAATTAGTAGTACCACCGGTTGAATCCCACCCTGGTGTCCAACCACACCTGGCCAACAAAGAATTCTATTCTATTCTATTTGTTTAGTGACCATTTAAATTTACGACACTGAAAAAAGGTGACTTATGACTGTTGCGACCCTATGGTCACATTATCAAAATTCAGGCACTTGGCAACTGACATGTTCTTACGACAGTTGCAGTATCTCTGAATCGTGTGATCACCATTTGTAACCATTCCAAGCTGGCTTCTGACCAGCAAAGTCAACGTGGGAAGCTGGATTCGCTGAACGACTGCATGATTCACTTAACAATTGTGGCAACAAATAAAAAAGGTTGTAAAAAGGAGCATGACTCGCTTAACTCCTGCCTTGCTGAGCAACAGAAATGTTGGGTTCCGATGTGGTCATAAGTCAAGGACTAACTATACACCACTCTCTTCCTTTAAGCTGCCCTGCAAACAGCATATATGGGCGGCACCACCTGCTGGCCGATTGATGATACAATTTTATGCCATACTGTTTTTGCCAGCAGAAAGACTGATGAACAGCCCAGAGCCATGGAAGAACATCCTTGCATCCTAACTGCTGCGCGAGGCTAATAAATCTGTTGCTAACAGGTTTCTAGTTGAACTGTTGTTTCTTTTACCTATAAAACTGCAGTTGGTCCCGTAACTCCAATGCCCTAAGGATCACCTCCTTCAGCTAAGAATCAATAGCCCAATGAGAACATTTCCGGAAAAAATGCTTTATAATTCTCCAATACCATGAAGTTAGGGGCACTGAGGCCAGCAGGAAATGTTTCTCTGTAATGAGAAGCTAAATTAACCTCAACCTCATTTCAGAAGCATATTAAATCAGAGCTCTTGCAGAAGTCTTTTAAAATGTATTTTATTGAAGGAACACCCTATCTGTGTTTATAATATTGTGAGCTATGGTTTTTAACTTCTGTAATTCGGTTATCGTGGATAACTCCTCTGCCTGTATTTTTCAGGGCCTTTTTTCTACCTTTGCTGAGAGTTGTTTGATCATAGTGGCATGGGTCAAAACACAAACAAACCCTTAACACTGTACAGGTAGTCCTCGACTTACAGCAGTTCATTTAGTGACCGTTCAAAGTTACAATGGCAATGAAAAAAGTGACTTCTGATTGTTTTTCATAGTTACGACCTTTGCAGCGTCCCCACAATCACGTGATCAAAATTCAAATGCTTGGCAACTGTTTCCAACTTACGACCGTTGCTGTGTCCCAAGGTCATGTCACCCCCTTTTGCTACCTTCTAGCCAGCAAAGTCAGTGGGGAAGACAGGTTCACTTAACAACCGGATTACTAACTTATCAATGCAGCAATTCACTTAAACAATCGGATTACTAACCTATGAGCTGCAGTGTTTCACTTAACAACCGAGGCAAGAAAATGGGGCAAAACTCACTTAACAAATGTCTTACTCAAACAACAGAAATTCTGGGCTCATTTGTGGTCGTAAGCTGAGGACTACCTGTATATTGAGGGCAACGTATGCTAAAAAGAGTCTCAGTTTTACTTTGCAACGTAACTGCAGGCCCTACAGTGCCTCAGGGATGAGGTGGGAGAAGGAAGCAGTGAACAGGAATGCAACAGAGGCGGAAAGGAAGACCCAGTTAATGAAGCACTTTCCTCCCCCATTAATTGATTGAGTGATTGATTGATTCGGTTTCAAGGCTTCCTGACTCAATAACAGTGTGACTAACAAATAAAAAGCAAAAGAAAATGAACTAGATTAAGAAGAAAAAGGAAGTTAGCTAAATCCCCAAGTAACCAATTTCAGGTAATCCTTGACTTATGACCATAAATGAGGCCAGAGGTCACCAGGAGATTGAGTTCTTGTTGTCAGCATTCCAACTAACTAACTCCAAACCAATAAACTCCAAGACAAATAATTCCTCAAAGTTCCATTTTATTAGAGTTGTCATATTGGCGCATCTGGGAAAACCCAAATCTGAGAGTTCTGGGTTTTCCCTTCCCAAAAGAGAAATCCAAGATCCATCCCCTGTACCCATCAGTCCATCACATGGCCCAATGAAATTGTCCCAACTGGAGACATCCTCCCAGTCATTCCCCTCCAGGTGCAGGGCCACATGTCCTTGACTCTCAGAAAGAATGTTGTTGTGTCTAGTCTTCTGCCCCACTATGAAATCCCTCCTCCCAAATTCCCAGGCGCTGAATGTGGCAGCCTCAAAGCTTCCAAGTAAAAATGGCTTCCAAGGCTGGCACTAGTCCTGCCTTAGTCATGAAAGCTAGCTGGATGACTTCGGGCCAATCACTTTCTTTCAACCTATCCCACCTTACAGGGTTGTTGTGGAGAAAATAGGAGGAGGAAGGCGTGTTGGATATGTTTGCCACCTTCAGTTATTTGTAAAAACAATGAAGGCAGAATATACATAAATAAATCAAATCCCCAAATTATAGACATCTGTTTCTTCCATTTTTTTCCCCCTAGGCTATGTGGCTTTGAGCCCTTTTTTGACCCAAGAGGAGATCAGTACATGTACAGCCGGATTTTAAATTGTGACTATGAGTTTGTCTCTCCTTGGTGGGATGAAGTGTCCCTCAATGCCAAGGACCTGGTGAGTTCCTGTATTTTGAGCACTGCCCTGGCGGCTGATTGGCCCCGTCTGCATCTGCTTGTTCTGGCATGCATTAGGAAGCCTCAATGGCACGATTAAAGTGCACTATCGCAGGCTAACTCTGCTCATAACCTGGAGTTCGATCCTGATGGGGCTCAAGGTTGACTCAGCCTTCCATCTTTCCTAAGTGAGTAAAATGAGGATCCTGATTGTTGGCAATACGCAAATAATGCTCTGCATCAGGGGTGCAGCGTTATGGCCCCTTTATGACTTGTGGACTTCAACTCCCAGAATTCCTGAGCCAGTCATGAGTTCAATCCTATGGGACTCAAGGTTGACTCAGCCTTCCTTCTTTCCGAAGTGAGTAAAATGAGGATCCTGATTGTTGGGGGCAATATGCAAATAATGCTCTGCATCAGGGTTGGAACAATGGCCCCTTTATGACTTGTGGATTTCAACTCCCAGAATTCCTGAGCCAGCTGTGCTGGTTCAGGAATTCTGGGAGCTGAAATCTACAAGTCATAAAGGGGCCATAGTTCCACACCTCTGCTCTCCATGGTAAACCAACCAGTGATGTAATATATGGGGTGGTATATAAGCCTAAATGCTATGAAAGGTTGAACTCATCTTCCTCAGGCACCATGTCCCCTCAAACATCATCTTGCAAATGAAAGTACTAGGCTCACCTTCCATTCTTCTGTAGAGATATGCTTGGATCTCACTGGGATTGGAGAGAGCAGTGGGACTCATTACACAACTAATCAACCTCTTCAGGCCCAGAAGGGAGTGGAGTTCGCCCTTCTAGCCCTGATGATGTTACCTAGTTTGAGAATGAGATGTCTGCAAGAAAACAACCAAGCTCAGAGGGCATCAAAGACCCCACAGTTCAACTCTGAGCTAAACATATTCTCTTCTATTGGTATAAGTGCCTTGACTGGCCAAGTCCACACCATGGCCCCATTTTTGTGGAGAGGACACTTTCCTAATCAATCCCTTCTGCTAGGGCAAGATCATATGGTCTCCAAATATCAAATGTATTCCTAGCTCCAAGGTTGGAGCGTTGTTTCTCCAATATACTAAGAGATAAGACTTGGACTGCACAGCAAGGCCGCCATTTTGATTTTTTCAACATTCCACACACGCCCCGGGCAGACACCCTCGATTAGTCCAATGTTATTTATTTATGAACTTGCTGTGCCATCCCTCTCACTATTAAAGATGGAAAACTTACAAAATGATAAAAAAGATCAATATGGTAACAATTTAAATAAGAGCCATGGTGGCTCAGTGGTTAGAATGCAGTATTGCAGGCAAACTCTACCCGCTGCCAGGAGTTCTATCCTCACCGGCTCAAAGTTACCTCAGTTTTCCGAGGTTGATAAAATGAGGACAAAGATTGTTGAGGGCATTAAGCTGACTCAGTAAACCGCTTAGAAAGTAACTATGAAGCAGTATATAAAGTGCTGTTTCTATTAACGATTTAAGAGAAACTAAAAACGAAGAAGACGGGCAGCATGGGAGTGGGATCCCCTCGGTACCACATCAGCCTCTCCCAGTGCAGAGCACCCCCATTGGGACCACGGATTAGCTAGACTAGTATTGGGGTTCTTCTAGAAGGCCAAGAGGGTGTGGAGGGGTGGCTCTAGAGCAGGGGTGTCAAAGTCGATTTCATTGAGGGCCGCGTTAGGGTTGTGTTTGACCTCAGGGAGCCAGGGTGAGCGTGGCCAGCTCAACATCACTCATTTTGGGGGCAGTTGTGGTGGTCCGACCACTCTGCCAGAGAAAATGGGTTCCCGAGCACCGTTTTCAGCTACAGTGGCCTCCTGCAACCCTCTGCCGGCAAAAACTGAGCTCAGGAGAGCTGCCCGCAGCCCTCCCCTTCTCCGTTTTAACTGGCAGAGGCACCGTGGGCCGGTCCTTTGCTGTTTCCAGGGCAGCCCTACGAGCCAGATCTAAGCACCCCACGGCTGAAATCTGGCCCTCGGGCCTTAAGTTTGACACCCCTGATCTAGAGGCAGAATATTCCAAAGGGCAGGGGCGCCCACAGCAGAAAAGGCTCTGCTCCTGGATCCTGCCCACTGGGGCTACTCTAGGTAGATAGTGCATGTTATGACACTGGAGTTGTCACACTAGATCTGTCTCTGGCCTTTGTAGGTTCAAAAGCTGATTGTCCTGGACCCCCAGAAGAGGCTAACAGTTCATCAAGCCCTCGAGCACCCTTGGGTGACTGGCAAAGCTGCTAAGTTTGCTCACATGGACAGCACCCAGAAGAAACTGCAGGAGTTCAATGCAAGGAGGAAATTAAAGGTAAGATTCTGGAGATTCTGTGCACCTGTCTGGGGGCTGGGAACTGGGGGCCCAAGCTAAGTGGCAGAGGCTCAGAATCCGGGTGCAAGGCAAGCCATCCCAAAGTAGCATAGGGCAGAATGCCTGCAAGGGCAGGTCAAAATCCAGTACAAGTAGGCCTTGACTTGTAACCATTCGGTCAAAGTTACGTTGGACCTACTTTGGGCTACTTGCTGTACAACCCAAATGCAAAGTTCTGAGAATGACACACCCACACCATGGTCACATGACAATTTCGGACAACACAACCACATTTACAGCGATTTGCAGCATCCCGTGGTCCTATGACTGGCTTTTTTGACGGTTTTGTCGTAAACCAGCACATGCTTTCAACAAAACCATGCCCAAAGCCAGTCATTGGCTTGCTTAACAACCACTGCAAAAAAGTTCATAAAATTGGATCAGAAACATGACCGACCCATTTTACAACCATCCCGACTTACAATCATACAGGATCAGAGTGATGGTTCTCTTCCCTTAATCTTCCCTTTTGCAAGGAGGGTGATTTTTAAACCCAGGGATGACTTTGTCTGAGGTAAATAGAGTGCCTGGAATTTCCCTCTTTTGTGCAGAAAATGTTACGTGTGTGGATTTCTTCTGAGACACAAACACCTGCAGCCAATGGCTGGCGTGGGTGGGTGGGCTCTCTTGCACCTGAAGCCTTATACTGCCTGACAGATGTTTGTAACAGTGATCCAATTGCCGCTATTATTTCTCTTTTTCACATTTTTGTTCCATTGGCACTCAGCCACCTGGGTTTAGTATTAAGAGAACATGGTACCGATGAGAATTAATTAATGTAATTAATTAAAATAAATGTATACAAGCAGTCCTCAGTGACCAACAGTTAATTGGAACCAGGAACTCCATCGCTAAGCAATGCAATCATAAAGCATGATATCTCGTTACCATGCCAACTTACGGTGGCAGTTCCGGCAGTCCCAGTGATGTTGTTAGGTAACTCCCATATAGACCTAGCATCCCATAGTATATGACCTTGAGGGAGCAGGGGAAGAGATGCTGTCTAGGAAACAATCAGATAAAAGAGGGGGTTAATGTTGCTTCAGTTGCTTAATGGTCAGACAAAGAAACTTAGGCAGGACTCGCCCTAATTGAGCAGGCTGTTAAAAGGGATGGCAGGAGGTTTGTAATTTCAGACCTGCAAGAGTAATATGGCAATGTAACCCTACAATTAAGTAGAATTAGCTCACATTTCCTAGTCTGGTTTATCTGGAAGGGTTTTGCAAATCTGAAAATACAAACTTCCCACTGTCACTTTTAAGGGTTTGGTCCATTCGGATGGGTCCTTCCTAACTTTTTTTCCTGGCCATTAAGCTCCTTCTTGTCTGATCATTAGTCACAGTCACAAAGCTACCATTTTCAACCTCCTGTTGGCTTCTCCGTTGACTTTGTTTGCCAGAAGCTGGCAGGGAAAGCAGCAAAGGGTGATCACATGACTGCGGGATGCTCTGATGTCATAATTGCGGGCCAGTTGCTGAGCATCCAAATAGTGAATATGTGACCATGGGGATGCTGCAATGACCATAACAACTAGGAAGATCCTAGTTGAGGGATTAGGGAATCCCTCATTCAGTACCATCATAACTTTAAATAGTTGCTGAATGAATGGGCATTAAATCAGGACTGCTTGTGGGTCCTGCATCTCACAGGGCCAATTCTGGATGACTAGCATAGAATTAAAATTCAGTCAAAACAGCCGCATTTATTTATTTAATTTATATGCTGCTTTTGTTATTTTTACAAATAACTTAAAGTCTAATACTTCTTCTATCACTTAATTTCCACACAACAACCCTGTGATGAAGGTTGGGCTGAGAGAATGATGGCCCAAAGTCCCCCAGCCAGCTTTCATGCCTAAGGTGGGACTAGAACTCACCGTCTCCTGGTGATTGGCCCAAAGTCCCCCAGCCAGATTTCATACTTAAGGCAGGACTAGAACTCACAGTCTTCCGGTTTCTAGCCTAGACCATTAGACCAAACTACAAATAATAATAAACACTGTATATAAACAGTGCCAGCCAAGGAGACTAACAGTCACTGCCAACAACTTCCCTTTTACGGCTCCTTTGATATAATAAACATGTACATTTGAACCAATGTCATTCTTTGTCATGTCATGTCTAATCCATACAGGCTGCCGTGAAAGCCGTGGTGGCATCCAGCCGCCTCGGCAACCACAGCCATCATGAGGGATGCAGAAATGAGCGCCATCAGGATGCTACCAAAGAGGACAGCGCAGCTCCCTCAGCAGAGAGTGACCTCTTTCTCCAAGAAGAGAACCTTTACCAGGAGAAGAAGATGGAGATTGACAAGGAAGAAGCCATGACCATAAACACCCCTTTAGCCAAGGTCGAGAAGCTCGAAGGTTTCCAGAACGAGAGTCCTGTAACCCCGGTGATGATTCTTAATGGCTCCGGCTGCAAAACCTAACTCCACGGAACACTAGCGCATTGCTCTTGTCACCAACTCAAGGAGTATAAAGTCTATCACCATCACCGATAGACCAAATTCTAACAATGACCATCAAAGGCCACCACCTGGATTGAGAGAGCAATTTAAATGGAGGACAACCAAAAGCTAGTTGAAATTAGGAGAAAGTTCTACAGGGACATCTTCTACAACCTGGCATCTTCTGGTTATATGGGATTCCTGCTCCTATCATCTTCAGCCAGGGATGATGGGAGCTATGATCTAATTTTTGGGGAGAGCACCAGACTGGGGAAGGCACTAAGTAGATAGGCAGCTCTCGGCTGAAGAGCCATTTGTCTTGTTTTGCAGAGAAATCCATGTTCTTTCATATCCTTACTGTGTATGTGTGTGTGTGAGAGACTGTGTGTGTGTCTTTGTACACAC